GCTACAATCACTGTTACAACCACTGCTACAATCACTGTTACAACCACTGCTACAATCACTGTTACAAACCACTGCTACAATCACTGTTACAACCACTGCTACAATCACTGTTACAACCACTGCTACAATCACTGTTACAACCACTACTACCACTGCTACAATCACTGCTACAACCACTGCTACAATCAGTTACAACCACTGCTACAATCACTGTTACAACCACTGCTACAATCACTGTTACAACCATTGCTACAATCACTGTTACAACCACTGCTACAATCACTGTTACAACCACTGCTACAATCACTGTTACAACCACTGCTACAATCAGTATTACAACCACTGCTACAATCAGTGTTACAACCACTGCTACAATCACTGTTACAACCACTGCTACAATCACTGCTACAACCACTGCTACAATCACTGTTACAACCACTGCTACAATCACTGTTACAACCTTACAACACTGTTACACCACTGCTACAATCACTGTTACAACCACTGCTACAATCACTGTTACAACCACTGCTACAATCACTGTTACAACCACTGCTACAATCACTGTTACAACCACTGCTACAATCACTGTTACAACCACTGCTACAATCACTGTTACAACCACTGCTACAATCACTGTTACAACCACTGCTACAATCACTGTTACAACCACTGCTACAATCACTGTTACAACCACTGCTACAATCACTGTTACAACCCTACCACTGCTACATATCACTGCTTACAACCACTGCTACAATCACTGTTACAACCACTGCTACAATCACTGTTTACAACCACTGCTACATCACTGTTACACACTGCTACATCACTGTACAACCACGCTACATCACTGTTACAACCACTGCTACAATCACTGTTACAACCACTGCTACACACTGCTACACCCTGCTACAATCACTGTTACAACCACTGCTACAATCACTGTTACAACCACTGCTACAATCACTGCTACAACACTGCTACAATCACTGTTACAACCACTGCTACAATCACTGTTACAACCACTGCTACAATCACTGTTACAACCACTGCTACAATCACTGTTACAACCACTGCTACAATCACTGTTACAACCACTGCTACAATCACTGTTACAACCACTGCTACAATCACTGTTACAACCACTGCTACAATCACTGTTACAAACATACTACACTGCTACAATCACTGTTACAAACCACTGCTACAATCACTGTTACAACCACTGCTACAATCACTGTTACAACCACTGCTACAATCACGTTACAACCACTACTACCACTGCTACAATCACTGCTACAACCACGCTATAATCACTGTTACAACCACTGCTACAATCACTGTTACAACCATACTACCACTGCTACAATCACTGTTACAACCACTGCTACAATCACTGTTACAACCCTGCTACAATCACTGTTACACCACTGCTACAATCACTGTTACTACCACTGCTACAATCACTGTTACAACCACTGCTACAATCACTGTTACAACCACTACTACCACTGCTACAATCACTGTTACAACCACTGCTACAATCACTGTTACAACCACTACTACCACTGCTACAATCACTGTTACAACCACTGCTACAATCACTGTTACAACCACTGCTACAATCACTGTTAAACCACTACTACACTGCTACAATCACTGCTACAACCACTGCTACAATCACTGTTACAACCATGCTACAATCACTGTTACAACCACTGCTACAATCACTGTACAACCACTACTACCACTGCTACAATCACTGTTACAACCACTGCTACAATCACTGTTACAACCACTGCTACAATCACTGTTACAACCACTGCTACAATCACTGTTACAACCACTACTACCACTGCTACAATCACTGTTACAACCACTGCTACAATCACTGTTACAACCACTGCTACAATCACTGTTACAACCACTGCTACAATCACTGTTACAACCACTGCTACAACCACTGTTACAATCCACTGTTACAACCACTGTTACAACACTGCTAAACCACTGTTACAACCACTGTTACAACCACTGTTACAACCACTGCTACAATCACTGTTACAACCACTGTTACAACCACTGTTACAACCACTGTTACAACCACTGCTACAACCACTGTTACAACCACTGTTACAACCACTGTTACAACCACTGTTACAACCACTGTTACAATCACTGCTACAACCACTGTTACAACCACTGCTACAACCACTGTTACAACCACTGTTACAACCACTGTTACAACCACTGTTACAATCACTGTTACAATCACTGTTACAACCACTGTTACAACCACTGCTACAACCACTGCTGCAACCACTGTTACAACCACTGTTACACCACTGTTACAACCACTGTTACAACCACTGTTACAACACTGTTACAATCACTGTTACTAAATCACTGTTACAACCACTGTTACAACACTGCTACAACCACTGTTACAACCACTGTTACAACCACTGTTACAACCACTGTTACAACCACTGTAAACACTCACTGTTACAACCACTGTTACAACCACTGTTACAACCACTGTTACAACCACTGTTACAACCACTGTTACAACCACTGTTACAACCACTTACAATCACTGTTACAACCACTGCTACAAACCACTGTTACAACCACTGTTACAACCACTGTTACAACCACTGTACAACACTGTTACAACCACTGTTACAACCACTGTTACAACCACTGTTACAACCACTGTTACAACCACTGTTACAACCACTGTTACAACCACTTACAATCACTGTTACAACCACTGCTACAACCACTGTTACAACCACTGTTACAACCACTGTTACAACCACTGTTACAACCACTGTTACAACCACTGTTACAACCACTGTTACAACCACTGTACAACCACTGTTACAACCACGTACAACCACTGTTACAACCACTGTACAACCACTGTTACAACCACTGTTACAACCACTGTTACAACCACTGTTACAACCACTGTTACAACCACTGTTACAACCACTGTTACAACCACTGTTACAACCACTGTTACAACCTACAATCACTGTTACAACCACTGCTACAACCACTGTTACAACCACTGTTACAACCACTGTTACAATCACTGTTACAATCACTGTTACAACCACTGTTACAACCACTGCTACAACCACTGCTGCAACCACTGTTACAACCACTGTTACAACCACTGTTACAACCACTGTTACAACCACTGTTACAACCACTGTTACAATCACTGTTACAATCACTGTTACAACCACTGTTACAACCACTGCTTACAATCCACTGTTACAACCACTGTTACAACCACTGTTACAACCACTGTTACAACCACTGTTACAACACTGTTACAACCACTGTTACAACCACTGTTACAACCACTGTTACAACCACTGTTACAACCACTGTTACAACCACTGTTACAACCACTGTTACAACCACTTACAATCACTGTTACAACCACTGCTACAACCACTGTTACAACCACTGTTACAACACTGTACACCACTGTTACAATCACTGTTACAATCACTGTTACAACCACTGTTACAACCACTGCTACAACCACTGCTGCAACCACTGTTACAACCACTGTTACAACCACTGTTACAACCACTGTTACAACCACTGTTACAACCACTGTTACAATCACTGTTACAATCACTGTTACAACCACTGTTACAACCACTGCTACAATCACTGTTACAACCACTGTTACAACCACTGTTACAACCACTGTTACAACCACTGTTACAATCACTGTTACAACCACTGTTACAACCACTGTTACAACCACTGTTACAACCACTGTTACAACCACTGTTACAACCACTGTTACAACCACTGTTACAACCACTTACAATCACTGTTACAACCACTGCTACAACCACTGTTACAACCACTGTTACAACCACTGTTACAACCACTGTTACAACCACTGAGCAGCGTTAAGTCCGTTAAGACAAAACAAGAAAAAACCTAATTTCTATTAAGTGGAATATAATATGCAATTGACTCTACAAGCTACTTTTATAAACCTCTGTTTTGCAGAGCATTTGTCTATTTCGCGACGAACTGGCAACGCATCTTGCTCTTTCCTTGTTACACTAGCGTAAGTAGGTACCTGGGGGTGAGTCGACTTTTGTGGGTCGCATCCTGGGGGAACAAGAATGAAGGACCCCAATGGAAATAAGTCAGACAGTCCTCGATGACGCACTGACTTTCTTGGGTTATCCTGGGCAGCTATCCCTCACGCCCCCCCCCCCCCCCCCCCCCCGGGTTAAAATCCCAGAAAATCTTATGTTACTCGACTATTATGGGTCGAATACAGGGGGTGGGGGAGGGGGTAGTGATAATATACTACGCACAGCGCCGGACATTGAAATGCTACGATAATATATCTTAGACTGTATAATTAATTTTGTATACAAAAAAAGTGGACGTGAGTAGATGTCCTTGTTTCGTATGGTACACAGCAGCCATACCCTTCCCACAGTGACAGCATTTTACCCCCAGGGATGAGTCGGTGTAGAGTTTAACAAGTGGAGGGAGCAACCACGGGTGTTATATACTCATTAGTCATGGTTTCTTTCTCTTATTCTTCTGTTAAGCTGATGGATGTTCTGGAGACTTCCGCCAGTGACTGCCATGATTCACTTGTTTCGCAGGATCAAGTGTGGGAAATAGTGAGTGTTATTACCTAAACTAACTTAGGTAGTTACCCTTGTAGGTGATACAGCTCTAACCCCCTTTTACCGCCATCGTCACCACCACCGTCACTACCACCGTCACCACCACCGTCACTGCCACCGTCACCACCACTGTCACCACCACCGTTACCATCACTGTCACCACCATCATCACCACCACCATCACCACCTCCATCACCACCACTGTCACCACCACCGTCACCACCACTGTCACCACCAGTCACCACCACCGTCACCACTACCATCACCATCACCACCACCATCATAACCACCGTCACCACCACTACTCACCTCCTTCTCCACCATCTTCTCGTGCTCCAGACGATCGTGGTCATCCAGCTGGTTCTCGAGATACGACAAGCTGATAAACTTCTGCACGAAGGCCTCGTACTGACGTTTGAGGTCCTGTTCCAACTTCTCGTATTCATCCATGAAGGCCGGCCTGAGGGAGGTCACACTTAGCCATAACTCAAAGAATTTACTAGTCACTTCAGACACAACTTATAATTTACTAGTCACTTCAGCCATAGCTTAGAATTTACTAGTCACTTCAGCCATAACTTAGAATTTACTAGTCACTTCAGTCATAACTTATAATTTACTAGTAACTTCAGCCATAACTTAGAATTTACTAGTCACTTCAGCCATAACTTAGAATTTACTAGTCACTTCAGCCATAACTTAGAATTTACTAGTCACTTCAGCCATAACTTAGAATTTACTAGTCACTTCAGCCATAACTTAGAATTTACTAGTCACTTCAGCCATAACTTAGAATTTACTAGTCACTTCAGCCATAACTTAGAATTTACTAGTCACTTCAGCCATAACTTTAGAATTTACTAGTCACTTCAGCCATAACTTAGAATTTACTAGTCACTTCAGCCATAACTTAGAATTTACTAGTCACTTCAGCTATAACTTAGAATTTACTAGTTACTTCAGCCATAACTTATAATTTACTAGTCACTTTAGTCATAACTTTAAAGAACTACCCGGTAACACTTACAAGAATTTACATTACCAGAGTATTATTATTATTATAATCAAGGGGGAAGCGCTAAACCCAGAGGATTATACAGCGCCTGGGGGGGGGGATGTGGAAGGCATTCAGGCTTAATTCGGGGAACTGGAGCACAAATCCAATTCCCTAAATCAAGAGCCCCTCACCAACATCAAGGAACCTTCCTTGAGGGGTCCAGAGTATTAAACAAGGATAAAATGTGGATTAAAGGGATATTGGATAACTAGTAAGAGAATTAGAAGAGACGAGATGCCTACCGCTCTTGGTTGGCCCTGGATATGCTTATTTAGTCATCAGTTTGGATTACAAGTTAATATTGTGGAAGGTGGACCTCTTGGGAGAGACAGAATTTATTTTTTGGGTTGTCCTGCAGCTGCTGGAAGCGCATGGGAGTCACCAGATGTTAACATGAAGTGTTTCCTGTTCTCTCGGAGGTTTTCCTCATCCTACAGGATGCCCAGGAGTGTGTCGCAGTCACCTTAGACACTGAGGTCCGTGGTTCGATCCCCGGTACGAGTGGTAACATTAGAATGTGTTTCCTTAAGATACCCGCTGTCCTTGTTTACCTAGCAGAAAATAGATACCTAGGTGTTAGTCGACTGGTGTGGGTCGCATCCTGGGGACAAAACTGACTTTCTGTATAATAAGATGTCATTGATGTCAGGTAGTCCTGTATACCTTGTACATGTACTTGTAGAAGTAAATATTATTATTATTATTATTATTATTATTATTATTATTATATTATTATTATTATTATTATTATAACGATGAAGAATAGAAAGTGGGTTATGTTAGGTAGGATTCCCCAGGAAACAGGACAACTATTTCCTGACGCGGGTCTTAGTCACATGATGACCCACAGCTGGAGCTTGTGGTATTGTATACCATTCTTGTACAACCTGTCAGACACTGCAACATCATGGAATCTTGATTCTGAGGACATGTACATAACCTTCACGACTACGACAACTACTACTACAACTAACCCATCTCTTTGGGTAGGACCTACTTCCACTGGGGAACCCCGCCTACCAGTGACTATGCCCTCGTCTGCTACCCGTCCCATTTCCACCTGACGTTACTATATAAGCGTCAGGCGTCTTGCTTCTGCTTCAGAATCTCCACGACTACGGTGCTCTTCGCACCTACTGCTAGGTTGAGGGACTGATTACCTCATCTTTTGTACATAGTTCTCCTGTCTTCAAATTATGTCCTGGAATTTGTATTGATAAAGCCACTGGATGGCGAAACGTCTACAATAAAGATACCCAGATGTTGCACATGTGTCTCAATTTCATTGCAGCTTGTGGTCATCTGACTGAGGCCGTCCACTGGCTTACCAGCCCACCCATTTAAGAGTTTATTATAGAACTCTTTCCATCATTTAGTGTCGTGGATGTGTTGGTTCTCCTGCTGAGGAGACGTTCATGGAGGCACGGTGGTCATATTTCATCTTGGCTCCAAAATTTGGACGCTAAGGTGGAAGGTAATGAAATGATCAGTGCCACTCACAGGATGAGTGGCACTGCCCAATACTGTCTCTGTGATGGTGCTTTCACTCACTGGATGAGTGGCTCTGCCCAGTACTGTCTCTGTAATGGTACTTTCACTCACTGGATGAGTGGCACTGCCCAGTAATGTCTCTGTGATGGTATGTTCACTTACAAGAGAATGGTACTGTCCAGGACACATGGCACTGCCACTCACAGGTTGAATGCCACTAACCAATAACTTCCCTCCTCGGGGCAATAAAATCTCTTCAAGAAGGTGTCTTGAAGCTGACGAAGGGCTCTTAATCCAAGGAATTAGAGTCACCCCCCTCCCCTTCCTTGCATCAAACTAGATAATCCTTCACGCCCTAGACGCTGTTTGGCCCCTACAGGTTAAGTGCCTTCCTTAATAATAATAATAATAATAATAATAATAATAATAATAATACAACCTCCATCACTCCAATACGAAACATAAATCAACTTTGAGTGTGTGTTCTCAGAGGCCAGATCACTCAGTGAACAATCACTCCACTGCCACAAAAACAGGAATATGTCAATGTTTACGGTAATCACAGAGTACTGCTGGCGTGCTGCCCTAGGCCAAATAAAACTTGCAAAACCTATGAGGAAAAATACAGAAAAATCACAGATATCGAGGAAAAGGTCATCATTTTTGGTGGAATAAGGGTCGTCACTGTAGTTATCAACGTCATCATTCCTGGAGGGATAAGGTTGTCAGTGTGGTTACCAACGTTGTCATTCCTGGTGGAATAAAGGTTGTCGGTGTTGTTACTAGCAACCATACTTCTCCGGTAACCTCACCTCAACTCACCAAAAACTGTTGTTAACCTACGTTGATGTCAATCTTGACATCAACGTCATTATATTCGGTATTACTGACAACTCTCTCTGTATTATGACTAATATTTTTACATAACAGTATAAATAATAAAATAAACTTAATTAGCAAAACTTTAGCGCTTAGTCATGATTGCAATAATAATAATAATAATAATTAGCCAGGTTAAGACAAGCAAGTAAAGCTGTGTATACAGCCTAGGCCTATCAAAGGCTCCGCGTCAGCCAGGGTCTACCACATACCTATCATAATTATCAAATATGTTTTTTAACATTATATGTATTATCATGATGATAATATGGTCATATAAGACGCAGCGCGCTAGGTGAACGGGACAACATATGCAAGGAAACACACCCAATGTTTCCACCCTTTCTGGGGATCGAACCACGGCACAGCGTGTGAAGCGAGAGTATTGTCTACCAGGCCACGGGCCACCTTCCGTGATGGCACTGTTCGGTTCTCATGTGATTACAGTGGTCTGCCAGACTATGGAATCGATTCGCGTTTGTGATGAGTTCACTTAACAGTCAGCAGGTACCTGGGTGTTAGTCACTCACACCTGCTTCCCTGTTTACCTAGCAGTTTGTAGGTACCTGGGTGTTAGTCACTCATACCTGCTATCCATGTTCACCTAGCAGTTTGTAGGTACCTGGATGTTAGTCACTCACACCTGCTGTCCCTGTTTACCTAGCAGTTTGTACGTACCTGGGTGTTAGTCACTCATACCTGCTATCCCTGTTCACCTAGCAATTTGTAGGTACCTGAGTGTTAGTCACTTACACCTGCTTCCCTGTTCACCTAGCAGTTTGTAGGTACCTGGGTGTTAGTCACTCACATCTGCTGTCCCTGTTCACCTAGCAGTTTGTAGGTACCTGGATGTTAGTCACTCATACCTGCTATCCCTGTTCACCTAGCAATTTGTAGGTACCTGGGTGTTAGTCACTTACACCTGCTTCCCTGTTCACCTAGCAGTTTGTAGGTACCTGGGTGTTAGTCACTCACACCTGCTGTCCCTGTTCACCTAGCAGTTTGTAGGTACCTGGGTGTTAGTCAATCACACCTGCTGTCCCTGTTCACCTAGCAGTTTGTAGGTACCTGGGTGTTAGTCACTCACACCTGCTGTCCCTGTTCACCTAGCAGTGTGTAGGTACATGGGTGTTAGTCACTCACACCTACTGTCCCTGTTCACCTAGCAGTTTGTAGGTACCTGGGTGTTAGTCACTCACACCTGCTGTCCCTGTTCACCTAGCAGTTTGTAGGTACTTGGGTGTTAGTCGACTGGGGTGGATCGCATCCTGAGGGACAAGATTAAAGGCCCACAATGGAAATAAGACAGACAGTCCTTGATGACGCAGTGACTTTCTTGGGTTATCCTGGGCTGCTCACACTCCCTCCGGGTTAAAAATCCCAACAAATCTTATACTTTCTTAGTAGACAGAATGTACTAAAAATTCTGTCTAATCTTCCCTTGGCAGCTGCAGGAAAATTGTCTTCGGATGACAAAAAAGGCATAATACCGTGGCTGGAACGATACACAAATGGTACAAGTCGGATCGAAGCGTCGTCGTGGGTTCCTCTCTTCTGTGAGCGGGTTATTTGTGTGTCTTCGGATGCTTCTGGCCTCAGTTTTTAAATCAGACTCTTCTTCTTCTTTGAACTTAACATCAGCCATTATTATACATTACATGTAGGAGGAGCTACATGTCTATGGTGCACCAGTCAAACCAGAGCTACATGTCTATGGTGCACCAGTCAAACCAGAGCTACATGTCTATGGTGCACCAGTCAAACCAGAGCTACATGTCTATGGTGCACCAGTCAAACCAGAGCTACATGTCTATGGTCCACCAGTCAAACCAGAGCTACATGTCTATGGTGTACCAGTCAAACCAGAGCTACATGTCTATGGTCCACCAGTCAAACCAGAGCTACATGTCTATGGTGCACCAGTCAAACCAGAGCTACATGTCTATGGTGCACCAGTCAAACCAGACCTACATGTCTATGGTGCACCAGTCAAACCAGAGCTACATGTCTATGGTGCACCAGCCAAACCAGAG